CAAGCAAACTGTTGAAACAGCACATGCTGAAATCTGTGGCAATTTGTTTGAAAAGGTATATATCATCTCCTCAGGTGTTGGTTTCTTTATTTCAAATGGTAGGAAATTTGGTACTGATTCAGCTATAACTAACAAGGTTGGGATATGGTATCGAAGAATGGTCTAAACCTCCATTTTATGTTGCAAAATGTATGTTGTCAAGGTATTTAAAAAATGGTTTCATGATGGGTTACATCGTCCGTGATTTCTGCATCCTCACCCCCTCTCATCACTGTGCAAATTGGAAAAAAAATAAAATAAAAAGCTAATAGAGAATTATCTGTGGTGGGTGTGTGCGTGATTCAGTACTTTCCGTAATAGTTCATTCTGGCAGCATTCTTTATACAGCCTATTGCTTTCTTCTGATCATCTTCTGCTTCTTGCTTGTAATGATGCAAGATTAATATGTTTGTTTAATTATGCTGATCATACTCTTCGTTTTTCCCTCCTTTCTAATGTTTCCTACAGGCGGTTAAGGAAGCAATTTCTGGCGGAGTGGATGGATTTGATCCTGACGTGAGGAAAGCTGTGAGAAAGGCTGCTTATGGTTTACGCTTAACCAGGGAAGTTGCAATGTCTATCGCTAGTAAAGCGGTAAGTATGTAATGAGCTTGTGTATGGTTGCCTGTTAGGCTGTTATACTCGAAAGTGCGTTGACTCTACCATGAAGAAAGTTTTTGTAGTTCGAATATCTCTCATGACAGAGAAGTTTTCAGAAAATGCATTTCTAAATTTGTCCTCAACTTGGATGATATGCAGGTTCGGAAGATTTTGTTAACTTACATTCAGCAGGCCCGAGGAGCTGATAGCCGCACTGAATCTGCTAAAGAACTGAAAAAGATGATATTATTTAATAGCTTGGTTGTGACTCAACTAGTTGCTGATATTAAAGGTGAAGATGAATCATCTGATTCTCTGCAAGAGGAGCCTATCAAGGAGGAAGAGAAGCAAACATTTGAGGAAGAGGAATGGGAAACTGTGCGATCACTTCAGAAAGTAAAACCAAACAGGGAAAATGTAAAAAAACAAATTCAGACTGAGATTACTCTGAAAGATGACCTTCCAGACAGAGACAGAACTGATCTGTACAAAACATACTTGTTGTTTTGTCTAACTGGGGAAGTCAAAATGATGCCTTTTGGTGGCCAACTTAGAGTGAAGAGGGATGATGACTCCGAGTTTGTTCTATTAAGCCAACTTGCTAGCATCCTTGGCATGAGCAATAAGGAGATTGTTGATGTGCATCGTGGCTTGGCTGAGCAGACATTTAGGCAACAAGCGGAGGTGATTTTGGCCGATGGACAGATTACGAAGATGAGGATGGAGCAACTCAATGACTTGCAGAAGAAAGTTGGCTTGCCGCCCCCTTATGCTCAAAAGATTATCAAGAACATAACAACTTCTAAGCTGTCGGGTGTCCTCGAAACTGCTGTTGGTCAGGGAAGGATAAGTATGAAGGAAATTAGAGAATTGAGGGAAGCTGGAGTTGAAATAAACACTATGGTCTCTGAAAGCTTACGCGAAAACCTGTTCAAAAAAGCAGTGGATGATATGTTCTCATCTGGTACTGGTGAGTTTGATGAAGAAGAAGTGTATGAGAAGATGCCTGCAGATCTGAGTATTAATGCTGAGAAGGCCAAAGCGGTTGTGCAGCAACTCGCACGAGCTAGATTGTCAAATTCACTTGTTCAGGCTGTGGCACTTCTAAGGCAGAGAAACCAGAAAGGAGTGGTATGATGATATATCTGTGTTTTCTACTTAGTTTATTTCATGTATCCATTTGTGTCAAAATTTACGCTTTAATGTTTCTCTCTTTCTCTTTGGTGGTAGGTTTCCTCGCTCAATAACTTGTTAGCCTGTGACAAGGTTGTACCTTCAACCCCATTATCATGGGAGGTGCCCGAGGAACTTGATGATCTCTTCCTGATATATCTTAAGAGTGACCCAGCACCCGAGAGGCTCTCGAGGTTACAATACTTGCTGGATATAAGTGATTCAAAGGCGGACACTCTAAAAGAGTTGAAGGATAGAGCAGTGCCAAATGAAGCCGAAGAGGAAGAGTTTGTTTTTTGAATCTGCCATCACTTTAGCAGCAGAGAACTAGTGTTAGTAGCATGAATTGTTTACCACCAGATGTCACATCACAGTTTTGTAATATAACACTAGGATGCTGTTCTTAATTTTCACCGATTCCTCTTTTTCAACTTCGTGAAGAAACATTTATGTTTATTTAAAATGATAGATTGTAAGGAGCCATTGATGTTTCAATATATAATAAATTTTCTTGTCTATCTATTTGTATATTTATGTTTTTTTTTTTTGTGTGCATAAAATAGGCATCGCATGTTTACTGAGGATTGCACCTTTGATAGTTTGATATCAGATTTTGAAAGATATCATAACGGATGACACACTAAATAATCTTCAATTCTTTGATTTCAATATATACAAAAGGCAAAAAGGATTTTAGGTAAAAGGTTTATTCTGTAATTTTTTCGGAATCCAATATATAATTTTATATATAGATGCAATGTGGGTGCGTCATTGGTATTTTTTTTTTTTTTTTTTGAATCAAGCGTCATTGGTATTTCAGTATTTCCTACTCTTACCAAATAACTTAACTAAAATTTTGCCTTTGTTACTTGTCTCTGTATCTTTATTGCTGTGTTTGGTTGGGTAGAAAAGAACACTTCTAGACACGCACTCAAATACTTTAGTTTCTAAATATATAAAATTTATATATTAATACTAAACATAATATTATGAAAAATTAAATTGTAAATAACTTTAATCAAGCATCATTAATCAAATTAAACGCATAAGATGGGACAAAGAGAATATTACATTTTAACTAAAAAAATATTACACGTGTCACTTGTGACGGCCTAACACAAGACTTATTCAATTATGTTTTGATATTAACTAAATCCATCCACATTAAAGGAAGATTTCATAGAAACTCCAATCTATCAACTTTTGATCACAATTTGCAGAGTGTATAATGGATGACCAAATGCATATCTCAATAATGTCAAAACAGTTTTGCTAACATATGGAGAAATTTGGCTTTTCCTTTCATTGGAGAATGAAGATTGTCTATTCTCCTACCATATTATCTCCAATGGAATCAAATGCTAGAAAACAGACCTTGTTCAAACATGCCCACACCACATGAACAACCAAGCAACACTCTTTCTATGTAAAATGCTAAGCCAAACACGATCTGCTATTTCAAATTTTCAATTTTCCAAATTGGAGAAATGGACATGTAAAGATATTCAATTTGTTTTCCGTTTTCCGTTTTCCAATTTCTCCATTTATCCAATTGGTGTGTTAGTAAACACACTCACCCTTCAATAATGCTTTTATGCCTAAGCATAAAGAATATGAGCATACTAACCATAAGTCATCAGACTTAATTATGTTTAGATTAGAAATTTTAGACATGAAAAAAGCATGGGCAAACTACTATCATTTCTGATCACATGACACTACACTTCTTCAAATATATGTTCCCATTTCAAACACCAAAATTATTAGCCAAAGCATATGAAACATACCTTGTACCTACCCATAAAACCCTATAAATGCAAACAAGCTCAAATATCAACTCCGAATCATAGCAAGTAAATTTCTATTTTTCATTTTGAACAAGCTGAATTCTATATATCAGCAGCAGAATTATTTTTGCTTAAAGATACTGATGCATAGTAACTAAGTAAAACAATAGGCAAGTTCATACACTATACAGGACCCTTACTATAACAAGATTACAACCTTTTGTCTTTGACAGATCATCATCGCAAGCTTTCTGCAACTTCAATCATAAACTATAAGAATAGAATACGAGAAGAAGGATTTGATTACAGAGGTTTTGAATCAAAGAGCTTTAAAGCAGTCTGTTTACCATTAAGATTTAAGATCATCGGCACGCTTCAAATTCGAAGATGAAACCAAATGCCTCCAAACGTATCTGCCGCTAGCCATGTCCACGAAGGTCCAAAATCCGTTCCCTATCACGCCGCAAACCTACAATTTCATCGCATTAAATTTCGATTAATGTCAGTAAATTTCACGAGCAAATGCTACTCCGTATTTAAGCTTCTGATTTCGGAGGAAATTTTCTAGAAAAACGAATAAATAACTAACAAACAATACCTTGGAGCAGATTGGAAGAGAACTTGAGGAAGACGACGACGAATCAGGGTGGACCTTAACCGGCGTTTCGTCTGCTGCGTGGCCCTGATAGTCGTCACTCGGAGTTTTCAGGTTTCGGAGGGCGAAAAATCCGGCGAGAGTTGCAGAGAGAAAGATGAGAATGATTCTCAGCGGACACATATTTGCTTTCTCTCTCTAAGTTGTAGGCCTTTAGAGAGAGAAAATTTAAGAGGGAAATGCAATAAAAACGACGATCAACCGTCAAGGATGAGGGACCGAGATAACAGCCCGCATCTTGTCGCATTTTATAGTATAAAATACAATAATTATAATTAATAATAATTAATTAAAGGCGAAATGGCCTTTTTTTGTGCCACAATTATTTCTCATAAAACATAAATAAATTTATTCCATCAATTACAATTTTTTTGGGCAGTTTCCACTTCCCCACACTTCTAAAATAATTCTTTTCAAATTCAACTCTAAAATAATTTTTTTTAAATTCTTATAATATAAGAACAAAATTTTGTTACTTAGAAATAAAAACTATAATCTTGTGTATCCCCACCCCTCCCCCCAGACTCCCATATTATACTAATATTTGCATTTGTAAGATAAAATTAATCAAATCAAATAAAATCTTGATTAGATCTAGTTCGAGAACAACCCCAACCTCCAATCAAGTATCAGTGGGATAATATTTTCATTGCACCTGAAACATAACCTAGAACTTTTTGTATTCACTTTGTATCCAAAGAAATCGATACCCAACTATTAATCTGCAAGTTCTGATGGATGAGAAATCAAGTAAAAATGAGCGAGATCATTTTCATAAATATTACTCCGTACAAAGTTTCGAGATACTAATACAGAGAGAAATGGTATATACCCAACCCAGGTAAGATACCACTTGTCTCCGGCCAGCCAAGGACCAGAAAACAGGATGTGAAGCATCAAGAATTGATCAATACTTCCCTAACTAAAAAAATTGGTAGCCATAACCAAATTGATAATCAGATATCCCACAGAGCATGGGAGGATGATTGTTGCAGTTCACCGTATATTCATCGCACTGCTGCTGCTGGAAGATGTTGGTTGGATGTTGATACGCTAGCCCTTTCCCTTCAGAGATCACTCGAAACTTTCGGAATCTGTAAAATGGAGCATCCCTTTTGGAAGGGTGAGTAAAAACCTGTGACATTCTGCAGGGAGGTGAAGGGGGAGAAGCGGGAAAGTAAAAGAATTCAGCTGGGAACATTGAATTGAGCAGCAAGCAAAAAATGGGGCTATCATGGTAGTTATGGTTGTGCATTTAAAGCCACAACTTGGTGCTGTGACATAGTTATAGACAACAATCAGGATGAAAAGAGAGATGCTCAAAAATTACCTTTCTATGGTTTTACAAACCGAGCAATTTTAGTAAGCACAGTTCGTAAACTTCTGATACCAGCCCCAGATTTTGAGCTGACCATCATCTGTAAAGAGAAACAAGAAAAGAAGCATATAATACGGAGTATATGTTTGGGTTTCTTCCTAGAAAATGTGCAAAGGCTTCAAATGAAATAAACTATTCCATTGTGCTGTTAATACCAGAGGTTGAACCACAGACTTGTTTGCCTTGAGGTTCTGCAAGATTGGGTGGGCAAATGAGAACATCAGTCTTACCATGGAGTTGACAAACATTTCAATTAGAAATCAGTTAAATCACTAAATTCACCTCTTCAATTTGCATTGCACGGCGTGCAACATCAATAGGGAATACAGTATCAGTCTTGGTTAAAATAATCTGGTATTTTGTTTGATATCTGTGAATGACGTAAAATTACCAAGTTAGACTCCAAAATGTAATGAAGAATGGATAGACTGGCAGGATGTGCAATGTCCAATTAAAATTGGATCTTTTACCGTAGAAAGAAGGAACATGGCTCCAACTCACCTACTAGATTGAAAAATAAAAATAATATTGATATGTATGCTATCACCTTTCCATCAATTCAACAAGTTCATGATCCCTTGCCTTCATACCCCATTTAGTATCAATGAGAAGGCATACTCTCTTTAGACCAATCCTTGTAGAGACATACTCTTTCACCTGAAATTTCAAAGGTCTTAGTCTTTTAGATGAGGCTTATTGAATGTTTCACAATTCTTTGAGTTAAAATCAAGAAACTATAAGGGTCAGGCAATTGTAATGAAAACCGAAATTGTTATTAATCCATTAACCAACTCAATAATGGTTATTTATTTTACATTATTAATAACTAAATTAAAGAACACCTCCTTCAGTCTAAATATGCATATAGAATTGCCAATTTCTCTATTTTGAGGTAGAAACGCAGAAAATGCCTTGAATATTTAGTGAACATTATATAGCTAGTAAATATTATAATAAGTAGCTAGCAGAGCACAGCTTATTAAGAATGTGTCATATTTTCCTTTCAAAAATAAAGAATGAAGTCACAAGTTGTACAGTCAGGCGTGCTGATGGATCTATTTGGCATAGAACTGTGAGGTCATAAATTTATGGTTTTACTTGTATCCAATAAAGCATCACTCAAACAAGAAAACCCTAAAGATAAAGAGCCGCCTAGTTAATGAGCAAAATACGTCCATACAAGCTGAATAGCCTATATTAATATAGACCCTTTTGACTGGATTAGGATTTAATCTATATCATTACTGATACGCACCCAAAGGAATGGTAGTTTACTCATGCAATAAAAGGAATGAATGCAAGAATGGAAATTAGGCAAAAAAAGGAACGAATGCAAGAATGGAAATCAGGAAAATCAGAATGCACAGATCATGGAAAGAGCTTAACTTAAGGGATTAGACAAGAATAAATCAGTACTGCCAAAATATTTCAGTTCCCTAGTATGTAATTGTTAGAGAGAAGAACAAGTACCTTTATTGACTGTAAACTGAAAAAAAAAATTAAAAAAAATAGGATTGTCATTATGACTTTCCCCAACAAGAGTTTTACAATCTTGCCCAACAAGAGTTTTAGTAGCTGGGCAAGATCGTAAAACTCTTGTTGGGGAAAGTCATAATGACAATCCTTTTTTTTTTTTTTATTTCAGTTTACAGTCAATAAAAGTACTTGTTCTTCTCTCTAACAATTACATACTAGGGAACTGAAATATTTTGGCAATACTGGCTTGCTTAGAGCATCCACACCAAAGCATAATAGGGAGATAATAGTACACTAATATGCACATCAACAGATGGGAAGCAAAGATAATACCAAAAATAATCCTCCTGCAAATGCCAAGATAATGGCAGAAAAAAGAAAAAAAAAGAAAAAAAAAAAGGATCAGCGCACTTAAGCGCGTTTCGCGCAGAATGGAGAAAAAGCCGGGCGCGAGATGCGTCAGGCGACGCGTCTGTTTACATTCATTTTTTATTTTAAAAATTTCAATTTTGGTTTTTTCTTTTTTTCTTTTTTTCTCTCCCCTCCCACTCTCTTTCCTAATCACTCTTACATTATCCCCCAATTCTCCCCAACTGATGTGGATGCTCTTAATGCAAATTAAAAAGAACAAAAGCAGAACTCATTAGCATACTCACAAGCTCCTCCCAAGCTTCCTTCACGTCTTCTTTTGCATAAGCAAAACCATATCCAGGCAAATCAACCAAGCAGAGCTTTTGGCCAAGTTTGAAGAAATTAATTGTCTGCATCAAGATCAGCTGTCATTTCAAATGTACTACAGTTCCTATATTTCAGTCAAATGAGAAAAGAGATTACTTGAGTCAATCCAGGCTTATCTGATGTCCGTACGACACCCCATTGTCTTGTCAATGCATTCAGCAGAGATGACTTCCCTACGTTTGATCTTCCTATTCCAATTCAAGGTAGGAAATTTAGACCAAATGGTCACAAAGTAATGAAGGCATAAGCTCACATATAACTAGCTATTGCTTTCTACAAAAGAAAACATAAAATAATACAGCAAACCTGCAAATGCAATTTCTGGAAGATCTGGCGGGGGAAAAGATGAAGAGATTTTTGCAGCAGCAAAAAAAGTTAATTTATTCCTGAATACCTGCAGAGAGCCGAAATGTAAAACCGAATGTACAATGCAGCACACAGAATATCCAACTCTAAGGTCCCTCAACTCAGAACTGAAAAAGATATCATCCATCATCTTATTGGTGGGGATAGACTGTTAATTCTTAATCTTCCAACTCATAGAACTAAATAAGTTACGGTGAAAAGAATATTGCAATAAATTTAAGTTTACCGGTTCTTCAATCCGTTCCCTTTCTGAGCTTGTTGACATTGGTATATTATCTAAAGGGGCAGAAAGCTCCACATTGTAGCCTGCCCTTCTAAACACAATTTCACGCCTACGACCCAATAACTGCAAGAGAACAACAAATTATCCATAAAAGGATACTTGATGTTACAGAAAAAAGAGAGAGAAAAAAAAGACCAATAAGCATGCAATTCAAACATACAAAGCCTGGCTAGAATAAATTACATTCTCTTCCACAAAGGAAAGGATGGAAGGGCTAGGGCATATAGCACGAAACTGTGCATTCTTTGACATTTCAGCATTACTCTTTTGCTCTATGTCTTCTTTCTTCTGTTTATTATTATTATTATTATCTGAAAAGCAAGCACAAGAAAGAGTTAATAAGCAAGCAAGAAAACAGTCTTATTTCAGCATTACTCTATTTTCCAATCTCTATACTTTCAATGAGATCCATAGAGAAACCTGCAACAAGTGAAAGCATTGGTATCATCAAATGAAGAGCCTAATTGAGCCAAAACTAAAAGGTAGTGCAAGCCTGGACATAGTGACAGGCAGCACTACACACTTTCTTGCTCCATGGGATGATTTCTATCTTATTTTTTAAAAGGACAACTCACAACTGGTTCCTTTATGTTAATGACCAAAAATAAGTATTGGTTTCACAATCTCAAGGCAATGGTAACTCCATAAGATCCAGTGGCAAATATGAGATATAGCACGTAATAAACAAGAAACTACAAATGCATAAACCTATGTGTAACAAAGTTTACAAAACAGTGAAGCACTTCCAGATCCAGTTATGACTCAAACTGAATAACTAACCCATAGCTACAAGATGAACTAAAGAACACTTTCTATTCAATACAACCTTTAGTATTTTAACACCAGAAAGTCTTGCAAAGAAACAATACTTTCCACTTTGATAAAAAGGGAAGGGGTAAAGTTAATAAAGAATGACTGATGAATGGCTATGTAATACCTGAAACAATATAAAGGGGAAAGGAACCTTGCTGATACTAACCATTCATAGATGTGGCATCATCCAGTCTCTTGTTTGAGATATCATGAGGATCAATGCGGATTCCTTTCTTTTTCTTCTTCGGCCGCTCTGTTATGTCTACATTATCAGTCAACCCCTTTTTGTCCTTGGGCTTTGTCTTAAGAGATTTCTTGAGATACTCAACTTTTTGCTCATTTTCTTTCTTATTTGAATTTGTTCTCACTTCAGATCTGCTTTTGGCATTGTCATTAGTCATGGAATCCCCAATGCTATTACCTTTCCTTACATTCTTAGATTTAGCTCTTGATTTTTTCTCATCAAGGAACTCACCTTCCTGGGATTTCCTTCCTCTTGGCGATGAATCTCTCCTACTAGACCGCCCAGAGACATGATAATCCTCATTTTCTCTTTGCTTTCCTGTATGCGTCTCAAGCTTAAGCTTATTCCTGCCTAGCTTAGATAAAGACTTTCTGTTCTGTAACCCCATATTGGCATCCAATGCTCTTTCCTCATCCGTACTTCGATCAGCAGAAATTCTCTTCCTTTTGCCACCAGAAGACAATGACTTGATATGACCATCCTCCTCAACCCTCAATATTTCCTTCCTACCTATCTTTCCAGGCGTAATCTCACCCTTGCAAGAGATATCAACTGGTTTTCTTACCCTACTTCCAGTTTTCTTACCTTCCGTAACACTTGTTTTCTTTGAAGTGCTGGTAACAACACTGCCATTACTGGCCTTCGATTTACCAGTTGAAACTTTCAGTTTCTTCTGAACCCTAGTGTTTTTCAACCCCGTTAGCGCTGGCATCGTTGTAAAGTACTAATTCAAGTGATACAATCAGAATTTCAAAGCTCAACCCAGGCAACCAGGAACAGAACCAGACAATCAGAGCACAACTGCGGAAGAGAAGCCATGTAAATACATTATATGTCCCATTTCCATAAACACATGCACACATTGATAGGCACACGATCGAATGAATTCCACTGGTATATACAGAGTAAAAGTCCAAGTTTCATAATAGAACAAAGCCTTACAAATAGGAAAACACAATAATACCTTTATTTTTGCATGTATTTTGTGTCACGAGCATTTTCCGGTGTTGCAGAGATCCTTTTTGGCTCCGTTCGCCGCCGCTAGCGGGGTTTTTGCGGTGGCTCTACTGCTCTCACTTCAGAGCTGCGGGAAAATCGTCGTCGATGTAGTGTTGGATCACCGCACCGTCGATTAATTTAAGTCGACAGTCCATGGCCCATATGCTGTAGCTTAGCCCAAATTTATTCGTAAAAATAGAGCCCAAAAGGCATTGCCTAATTGGCCTATTGTAAATTTGTTATACAATTTATACTCCGTCATATAGATTTTTGACCGCAACAAAACCAGAAATTCATTCATAAATATCCCGAGCTAATACATCTATATGCGGAGTAACATGCCACGACTAGTTAAACGGTGTACAACACTCTTCGCAAACCACTTAACAAATGAGAACTTCAGACCGTCAAACGCGACTACAAGTTCTTTTATATTATTTACCACCAACCCAAATGCATCATACACAACCTCTCCCTGAATAGTGAATAGCAAGCACCACCAGTCGGGCATCCATCCCCACTTTCACCCCGTTCATCTTATTCTCTTTAAGTCAATTAAGAGCCTCACGAACTCCCACCGCCTCCGCCTCACAGGTAGAGAACACACCCTTTCTCATAACACCTTCAGCCGCCACAAACTCCCCACTAACATCTCGTACCACCCACCCAAACCCTATGCAACGACGAGAAAAATCAATTGACGCATCCACATTAAGCTTATGTAACGTTTTCCTATTAACTATTAATTATTATTATAACATCAGGATCAGTTATGATAATATTAAGTGTTTGTTATATGAGTGTTAGGATTTAGGAGATCAGCTAGTGTCATCCAACTACCACATTGATGGCATGTGATTATTTAAGATCTACCATCCTCTTACTGCTTACACTCATTCCTCATACACCATCTAGAAAGAGTTGAGCAGAAGTGAGAGACAAAACGAGAGATACTCACGTAACTTTACAATCAGTCTAGGACTACTCAATCATCTACAACAAGAAGCGTTATTGGCGGGAGATTAGTGTTTATATTATGATCCTGATTGTCACGTGTTTATGTTTCTACATGACATAATTTGTACATAATTTGTTTTACTGTTGGTATTTGAGCCTGAATAATCTCTACCTAGCTTTAATTACTTAAATATATTATTTGCATATGTTGTATATACACTGTATAATTAAGATGGCATATGTGAATAATTATTTGCAATTGTCTAGGTTGTTGGAAACTTTTGTTTTCCGCATTAAGTACAATATTTTTTTTCATTAACCGTCTTCAAGATGATAACTGGTCTAATTCGACCTCAACAACACAATAGTTTACTGGGGCTCAGGTCAGGCAGTTTGGACGGATTTCTCGGGTTCTGCACGCCCTATGCAATATGTCATAGAGCAACCACACTAATGCATAATGTGAGAATAATGTCAGATTAAAATGCCATGTGGAAAAGAGAGAAGCAAGAAAGAGAAAAATGGGGTGCTTCTGCAAATGTGGGGAGATTTCAGAAATGTGGGGCCCACCATTAACTTTAACCATGCGTGACAGCCATGCGTGGCTGTCACCTCTGTGCCCAGCGCGCCTGACAGTAAATGAAAATACTATTATTTTTGTTTAATTTTTCTTTTTCCTTTTTTTTTTCCTTTTTTCTTTCTCCTCCCATTTTCTCTATCCTAATAACTCTTACATTATCCCCAGAGTTTTTTGCACTTTTAGTCCCACGACTATAGTGGCACTGACAGAATTGATCCACGACTTTTGAACCTTGCAATTTTAGTCCACGACTATTGATTTTTTTGCAAAAATGGTCCTTCCGGCCACTTTTCCGTCAAAATTTCACCGGAAAAAAAAAATTCTCTATTTTTAGCCGGGTTAAAATTGACATTTTACTTATCTCAAAAAATTAAAAGAAAAAAATTGATATTTGACTACATACAATATTACTGAGCTACATACTACTGCCCCAGGCGGCGGAGTTACGTTCCTGGAGCAGGCAGGGCTGTCAGTAAGCGGGGGAGCGGCCGTGGCGTTCCCCGGGCTAGTTGGGTTATCCGACAGCAACATTGGAGTGGTACATGTACTCCGCCGCCTGGGGTAGTAGTATGTAGCCCAGTAATATTGTATGTAGTCAAATATCAATTTTTTCTTTTAATTTTTTGAGATAAGTAAAATGTCAATTTTAACCCGGCTAAAAATGGAGAATTTTTTTTTTCCGGTGAAATTTTGACGGAAATGTGGCCGGAAGGACCATTTTTGCAAAAAATTTAATAGTCGTGGACTAAAATTGCAAGGTTCAAAAGTTGTGGATCAATTCTGCCAGTGCCACTATAGTCGTGGGACTAAAAGTGCAAAAAACTCATATCCCCCATTCTCCCCAACTAATGTGGATGCTCTAAGTTTGTATATATGTGTGTGTCATTGGAAGAGCCTACACATCTAAAGAACAATTATTATTGGTCCACACAGTTATGTGGACCATACTATCAAATAACGTACATTCAGTACACAAATAATGTACTTTTTTAATATTACTTTTGACTCTATTACAATGTAGTATCTGTTCTATACTTTCTCTATCAATTATTACTGGGGTTCTTCCATTGACCTTCCCTCAAGAAGAGCCACAAATAATGTACATTTAATATATTAAAAATGTATATTATATTCAGAGAAAATACATTATTTTGTATAATGTATATTCAATATACGAATAATGTACTATTAATATATTAAAAATATTCTTTTGTTATGATCCACACATTATGATATAATTTACCTCTAAAATGTAATACGAGAATAATGCTTCACTCGTCTTATAATTTTCGTGTGTATGGAAAAAAAAGTAATGAATTTCTTCAATTCTTTTGATTATAAATAAGTGAGACTAAACTTCTCAATAAATAAATAAATAAGAAAAAAAAAAGTGAGACAAAAAGTAATTTCTATTAGGATTCTTCAAGTGTAACTCGATCTTAGGATCGCCACGATCGAATAATGTCTGGATGGAGGGTGGTATCAACGTTGTCGGAAAACACATCCTTGCATAACTCTCTATAGAATCTGCAAACAAGATCCAAGAACACCGGGCACCTCAGATTCTCCCAGCAGTAAACCAAATCCTCAACATCCATCAAATCCCTCGCCGCCATCCTCCCTTCTCCGGCCACAATCCCCGCCAAGCACTTCTCGAATCTTCTACATGCATCGCCGCCGTCCACCTCGTCGGGAATCCGGCCATCTTCCCGACGACCATTCCCCGCCTCCGCAATCATCCTTACATACGCCGGAGTCAAAGGAGAGGGAAACGGCGCCTTCTGATTCGTCGTAGTAGTGTCCGAGAAACTCTTGAGCTCCATCGCCTCATCGTCGTCCTCTCTCGCCTTCGGTAAATATCGGAAAATACTTCGCCGGATGGCGGTTCTGCGCTGTCTTGGACGGCGGAGCCGCCGGCCGACGGAGAGAGACTTCCGGAGCCTGAATTTGAAGAGGCGAAGCATTTTCTTGAATGGGGTGAAGATGAAACGCTTGCATGAAGGTGTGATCAGCTTCATGTCTCTGGTTTAATGATCGGTGTGCGGATTCAAGTCTGTGTTTTATATGTAAAGAAACACTGATGAACTGATTAAGTAATGGGATACACGTCCAGAAATGATATGATGTTGGTGATGAAGAAAAGTGGGACACCACCAATTCAAAAACCTATTCATACATGGCTGCATTATATTTTGAATCTTTTATTTTACAATAAAAGAAAAAGTGTCAATTCTACCAACATTATGGTTAATTTACTTCAGGAAACTGTTATTTATTTTTTGTTTTAAAACTTTTTAGTTTTTATTATTTGTTTTCTGTTTAGAAAATGTGTTTACTAACACTAATATTTTTAAATTTATCAAAGACCTTGTAGTCCAATAGGTACCAAGTTGCTCCCCTTTATGGGAGGTGGAGGGTTTACTTTTGAGTAATTTTTAGATATTATATTTAAAATATTTTTAAAAATATTTAGTTTAAATAAAATAAATATAATTTTTACTTTTAAGTTTAATATATATATGTAAAAAATTTTACATTTGATATCTGAACCAAATTTATATATGTATCCATAACAAGAAACATATCCGAACTAATAACTATTAGAGCATCCACACTTGGATTTTTGAAAATTTTTTCAGAACAAAAAATCAAATGGTAATTTTTTATTGATGTGGAGATAGTTTTATTTATTTATTTATTTATTTATTTATTTATCTGCAAATGTAGTATTTTTGTGGGACTTGTCATTTGAGAAAAAATAGAAAAGGCATCTAAGTTCTGCGCGTGGAGCGCAGCCCCGCGCATGATTGTGAAAATGTTTGAGCTGATATGGATGCTCTTAAGTTCACGTAAAATTTATTTTAGATTATTTTAATATTTTTTAAAGATAAATTGAAAAATTGTGTGCTAGTAATATCTGTTCAAATATACTTTCTTAACCTATTGAGATAGCACAAAAAGTGAATACCACTCTCGTAGGACCTTGAACTTATGACCTTCCATTTGGAAGAGTCACTTCATGTCAGGCCTTGAACTTATGACCTCCCATTTGTAAGAGTCACTTCATGCCATTCAACATCAAGATCATTGATGATGTGACAGTGATTTAACTTGATGAATTAAACAATTTTAAATCAGAGACAACCTCGACCAAATTAATTAGACTATTGACTTAATAACCATACGATTATAAGTTCAACACCCTCTTTTTTCTAATCGAGAAGGCTGATATACAGATTTTGAACCTTGTAATTACCATTCTCACCAACTACTTGATTAGGCATTAATTGATTGGAGATTATACAATAGATCAAGATTTTTTTGTATTTACATTTGGAATTTTGACCATTACAAGCTACTCAAGTTGTTCTTACCTCATCAATCACACTACTGCAGGAAACACACATCAAAATTTAACACAAAAAAAAAGCTTATTTCACTCTCTTAACTCCCATCTCATCAAATCTACCAGTTTTATTATGGCCATATGCCCCTTACCAGTCACTAACCAAGCTCAATTCTCAGAAGAAGAAGCAGCATTTGCACAGCGAGAGCTCTTTCTAGACCCCTCGCGAGGGGCTTGGAACCCGATGTTCTCAACAGATCCAACGGTGTTGAACAATCGCCTTTTGCTCACCTCCTCGACCAATGTTCGGTGCAGCAGCTGGCTGCGCATATCTACGAGGGATCGGTTCCTTGTTAATCTACGCATGTCGAGCGTGCATTTATCTCGAGAAGTTGAAGCTCGGGTCGTTTCCAGCGCGTCCTTGCACGTTTGAGCGGGGGAGTTCCCGGTGCTCGAAATCTCTCCGGGACAGAATCTGGAATGGCTATGCGTAACAGCAACTGATGCCTGACTTTGTTTTCTCGGGCTTATATGCTCATTCTCGTCGCTAGAAACATAATTCAAGTATGAATAGTTACCCGAGCACGAAGAGCCCTCCGAACTCGTGTCTTCATACCATTCATCTACACATATATATATAGAGATAAATTAAAATCGACGTTATGAGTTATGACCATACACAATTATATATAACAAATGAATAACACGGAAGAAAGAGTTATTCACATACCTTGAAGCCATCGGGGACCTTGGCTATTTCCCGAAACCGACAATTGCGATGACGAACAAGACGAGAATGAGAAGTGAGGATTGTGATGTTCGTTCTCGTTGTCCTTATAGTTAAGCGCGTGGTAATCGGATGAGTCGTACTGATTCCATTTCTTCCACTGAGGCACTACACCAGTGATCTCCCCATCAATCATATTTGCGATTTCGGTAGGTTTCCAGTCTGTAATTTCTAATTCCTTCACCATTTCAATCGCAACATCAGTTGGGGTGTCGTTTAAAATGTCAAACGGAAAGAACACATTCCTAACAGCGCCTGCAAGGATAGAAAATTTCAAAATCTAAACTTTTGGTTGACGAGGGACACTATCCGAAGGTGTGCATTGGGTAAACCTCGCCTTATGATTCTAACCGGCAAAGAATCACAAGGAGGTAAACCAGTCTAGATTTTCCATAACTGACCGGCTCAAACTAAAAAGGCCAATAGGCCGCTCCCACTAGGAGTCGAACTTAGGACCTTGGGGTTACCAAGCCAATCAAAATCTAAACTTTGATTCTATAGGAAGAAAGACTAAGAGGATGTTTGGTAAATGACTGTTAGCTGATTGTGTTAGTGGGTTTCACTAGTTGATAGCATTAGCTGGTTATAGAAGTGTTTGGTAAATTAGCTGTTAGCTGATAGCTGGTTACAAACAAAATGACTTTCTCAAAAAGCTACTTGGAGCAGCTTTTTGAATTTTAGCATTTTGGAGCAATAAGTTGTTACAAAAAACTAATTAATCAAACACTTGTATTAATTGTTTAACCAAGTCAAACAGCTTATAGTGGTCAAAAAAGTCAAAATTAGCTGATAGGCTAACTATTTTACCAAACACGGCCTAAAACTCGAGAACTTTAGTGACCTCATCCACTTCTAAAACAAAGAGATAATGCATTACAACTAGCAAGAAGCTTCATAAACCATTAAAGGGAAAATATAAATATACCTTCTTTATCAGCGATCTGCACTTTAAGAAAGATGGTATCGTCTTCCGGATTCAACTTCCCGGTGATAGTCATGTTAGTCCTTGGTGCGGCTTCGTTCAAGTTAAGGTCTTCGAATCCAATATTGTCATTTAGAAAAGACTTCTGGCATCCAACCAATTTTATTGGCTTCATAATAAAATCATCGATGGCGAGGAATGAATCTACCATTAGCTCTTGTGCTGATGATCTCTTCGAGACGGGTTCCAAGCATTTTCCAATAAATCGTTGAGCTTCCACGTCTTGAACCTTGTAAAATGCCCTCGGCTTTTTACCCTGGGGGAGTATTTCACTTGCCATATTAACAAGTCTCTCTCGAGAGAGAATGACAATAGTCAACACATAACATTTCGAAAATGATCTTACCGCTGTCACTTTCTTGTAAATTTGAGCGGGATTGGAGCATTCGCTGTATGGATATTCAGTCGTAAGCATTTCTAGAATACACATTCCAAATGAGTATACATCGACAAGCTCGTTGTAGTTCTCATCATACAGCTCCGGTGCCATGAACTCCGGTGTGCCTATTACCATAAACACACGAGAAAATAATGATTTTATCTTACCTTAAAATTTATATATAAAATCCAGATTTTTCTATTTTTCTATGCTCTCTGCACTACGAAGCACTCGGGAATAGAACTATTAGCTACAAAAATGCAAACGAGAAAGAATACCTATGACACTATGTGCCCTATGGGATCCATGAAGAATAGTTGCAAGGCCGAGATCACCGATCTTGACTTGCCCAAGATGGCCATTGACGAAAACGTTGTCGCACTTGAGATCTCGGTGGATCACCGGAGGATCATGGCCGTGTAAATAAACGAGGCCTTTGAGTATTTGGCGGGCCCAAATCTTAATCGCACAAATGTCTACTTGCTTGTACTTCTTCCTGTATCTGCAGTCAATCGGAAGATTGCATCAATATAATTCCACATTTCCACTTTGCCGTTATCATCAAGAAAATCTGCCAAATGGCCAAAAAAGTAATACTCAACTAACACTTAACCAGTTCTCTTGACCTACTATTCTTTTAACCTAAACTTTACAACTTTATTCCGTTCACACGAAAGAAAGATTAGAAGCCTTTCAGTATCCAACCTTTTCTCAACATAACCAGAGAGTATCGAACATGACTGATTGGATTCACGACACCACTAAAAAAAGTAAAACCCCATTAAATGGAATAGATGCATTCACTAAACGCGTTCTCGTTCTCCTCACACTTGCTACTAACACACCAAACTAGCCAATGCAATTTCCCGACTAACCATCTACACAAGCAAGACTCAATAACTATTAGACTACGAGTTTCGGGTTGAAACCAACACTACTGGAAATTATTGAATTTCTGACCACCTGAAAGTGATCTTAAATCAAGTTGGAAGCAAAAAGTGGTCGGAAATAGCAACAAAGGTTTTTCCGGATACCAAAAGTGGTCGGAACAAGGGCTTTCGACTTGATTTAAGATCACTTTCAGGTGGTCAGAAATTCCATAACCGTTTTCTAACCAAAATGGAAGCAAGCTAAGCACGAAACGAAGCTTACCCTCTGAGCGTGCCAGAAGTGAACATCTCGGTGATGAAATTGAAGGTCCTGTGCTCAACGTCAATCCAAGACGAATAGAAGCGGATGATGGAATTGTGAGTGAGCGTGCTGAGAAGATGCACCTCCGAGTAAAGCCTCTGCAAATCCTCGGGCGTTTGTAGCACATCATTCAGCTTAATTTGGCTCCACGCCACTTCCATTCCAAGCACTTCATCAATTGCCTTGTACACTGTTTTCATTGCCCCTTTCCCCAGAATTTCCCCCAACTAACCCCCCATTTCAACCCAAAACAAAAGCCCAATAAAACATATCAGAAAAATCAAGAAAATTGCATTAAATCTTGAAATTAAATACACTAAAACAAACAAAACAACTGCTTAATCTTAACCCTTTAACAGCTTAACACCCACCTACTCAAACCCATAACTTTACACTTTTTTTCCAGAATTACACAGCTTTATTCAGATAAATATGAAATTTAAATTCTTTAAAAATAAAAACATTATTTTCTCCGAATACTACTTTGGAGTATTATTTAGGATTTACTTAGTGCAAACAAAAACTCATGAACTCCATACACTGCCCATTGATCTATTATATACCCAGAACAGATATACACATGCATGTATACATATAATGAAAGCAATTTTTATTAAAAAAATAATAATAATAATAATAATTATAATAAGTATAAATCACTTACTCGACCATAGCGACCGGTGGGATCAGTTTCGACATATTCGAGGTAATCATCCTCAGCAAATCGTCCCTTGTACATGTTTCTCTAATACGACAGCAATATATATAAATACACAAATTTCAGCTCAGGAATTTTGTGTTCTTACTGTTTAGGATAAAGGAAAAAAACAGAAAAGAAGAAGTAAGGACTAAGGAGGGTCTAAAAAAGAATCCTGGGTTTTCCCTCGTGGTTTTCATAGGAGAAGACTCGAAAGAGAAGCCAAGGGAGACTTGAGCAGTCAATCCTCTGCATGATATTCCCCCCCGCCATTCTTGCTCCTCCTCCTCCCCCCACTTGGAGTGCCACGTCGTAATTCCTGCCCACCATCTCACTTGATTTGATTGACGGAATTCACGAAAACGAAATTTAATAAAGGCCGAGCTGAGGAAAAAAAGAGGAACAGCGATGTTTGTGTACTAGGATTTGACCGGGGGAATGTGAATGTATTAATTCTTTGTTATAATCCCCCCAAAACCATAATTTTTACACCAAAAAATCTGGGTTTTTTTTTTCTTTTCTGTGGGAAGTATTAAAGAGTGTTTGTGGGTGTGGTGTGTTTGAAAAATTTCACTTTCATATACACAAAAAGTGGAAGACAGAGAGAGAGAGAGAGAGAGAGAGAGAGTGAGTAAAGAAGAAAAAACAAGAATGTGTTGTGTTTTTGCTGGGGCGGGGAGTTAGCGGGGAAGCTTTAAATTGGGGGGTGGGTGGGGCAGATGAGTGAGTAAGTGAGTAGAGATGAGAGGTTAACGTAAGTGATGACAATTGACAAAAAAGGATAGGGATGAATGGAAGTGGCGTTAAATATTTGGGCCTCATTTTATCTTCAAGATGAATCACGTCCAACGTTGTACCTTAATGAGGGGTTTGGTAAGATGCAATTATGTTTTTTCATTCTTATCAAATTTCATAAATTTTGTATTTCACTATTTCATTGTTGGTCAAAGAGAATTATAATTTTACAGAGTTTTTTTTAATTGTAGAATTATAATTCTTAAAGTCCCAAAAAATTACAATTCTACAATATGTAAAATTAGAATTTCACAGTAAATTATGATTTTGTTTTATTATTATTATACAATGAAATTTTAGACTTTATTCACTCTATTCCTTTTAAATCTCTAATGATTCTATATATGTCTACCAAATAGTGAAATTTGAATACACATCTTATTCTTTTCTTAAGAAATTACAATTCATTTCTTTCTAATTCCCTCCTTCCAACTATCTCTTACTGAGTTGTCGAATCTTGTACATCGTCACTCTTTCTTGGCCAATACTAAACAGCACATTTATGTACACAGAATTCATTTTTTGTAACAGAAATCGGACATAAGTGAAACTTTTCATCTACTAGACCAATACCTTGCGGGGTTATCAAATCTTTAAAATAGGAAATGTTCACCTATACTAATTTATTATTTGAAAACATCTATACTAATTTATTAAATTAAAACAAAAAAAAAAAAAAAAAGGTACTTCATATAAAATAAACCTCTTAAACCAAGAGAATAGTGACCAAGACTATGTGGTCTAATGGTACCCGGGTTGGACTTCCATTTGGAAGATTACGAGTTTGAGCCTCAGTGGAGGCGTTATTGGTTCTTTGTGTTTCAGTAGGTTGAGAAAGTATATGAACAGATACTACAATGTAATAGAGCCAGTAACTTCCAAAAAAAAACCCAAAGAGAATAGTGCTTACAGCATATGGGAGAGGAGAGAAAAAAGGGGGAAAAAAAAAAAAAGTAAAACTGATTTTGCCACGCGAGGCTGTCACAATGCTCCATTTCTCCTGTGGGTCCTACTTTTTTGCATTATTTCCTTCTCTTGCAGATGAACTTCTTGTCTCTTTCTCTTGCCTCTCTCTCTGCCAACTTGGCTTTCTTTTTCTTAATATCTGTGCATGATCCACTAATATGGATGGCCTTAGCGGGTCACGGCTTATGTGGTTGGTACATGAGTTTCAAATTGTGTAGTAGATTATAGGTGTACAATTTTTTTTTTATTAATCACGTCGTATAATTTATTTTTAAAAATTCAATTAACTCTAATCAATTTATACAATATCGTTCCTAAATTAATTGATTAATTATCTTTCACCTGAAAAAAAAAAAAAAAAAACATTTTTCGTACCTTAAAAATTAAAATTAAATCTATGACTTTCTATTTAGAGTATAGTACAAATGTACATTGTATATGATCGACTATTAAATATACACCATTAATTATGTTGACAATGCTACATCTAAAAAGTTTAAAAAAAAAAAATTATGGTGACAAGTTCTCCACCGACGCAGCTGGGTTCGGAGGGGTCCTTCGGAGCAGCGATGGGAGGTGGATTGGTGGCTTCTCGTCCAAGTCTAATGCTAGGAATGCGATTGAGATTGAAGCACAGGAGATCGAACAACGTCTCAGGTGGGCCTGGGAAAGGGAGTGAGTGTCGTTGAAGTGCAGTCGGATGCTCATTTGTCATCACGTGGATCAATGGGCATGAGCATCTACAAGGACCCATAAGTGGGACTGTTGACGACATAAGGAGGTGGATAGGGCATTTCAAAAAGGTTGAGTTCAAAGCCATTTGGCGAGAGCAGAATATGATAGCGGACAGACTTGCGACCATCGGTGCCGTCCAAGTGCCTAGTTGAAAGAATTACACACTCCTCCTCTGGGGGTGGAAGAAGATGTGGAGCGAGACAGAATTGGAATTTCGATGATACACCGTGTGGTTTCCAGTGCAACCAATGTGTAGTTTGGGGGCCCCTCCCCTTCCTCTTTGATTAAAAAAAAAATTAAAAATTAACTCTATGACTTTCTATTTATTTATTCTTATCCATTGTTGTAATGTAATGACTAGTTCAACGGTCCCCAACTTGGGTGTGATACTCATTTCTTCTTCTGCAAAATTCCACATGTTTTTTTTTTTTTTTTGAAAACAAACCAGAAGCTTCAATTAATCCAGTTCCAAAGTCAGAAAATTACAAAGATAGGGGGAGGGTTATCAAACCACTCCGAACAACTTGATCTAGAAACGAATTGCTTAGCGACAGTATGAGCCGCCCGATTCGCTGATCGTTCGACAAACGATAAAAACACTTGAGAGAAATTGCTCAATAAGTTTTTACATCAATAATAATTAAATTAAAGTAGGAATCTCCTTTATTTTGTTCTAGACTCTTGACCGCCCTAAGAGAGTCTGTTTCCACGAGGACATAATCCAAAGCCATCTCCTTGATCCAGCTGACTGATTCCCTAACTACAGCAACTTCAACTTTCCTTGGTGAGTAATAATTGATTCCAAGATTTCCAGTGTATTCTACCCTCTCCCACTCTACCTTTCCACCAAAAGGCATTTAAGGCAATCTCTATCTCTTTAATTAGCTCTTTAGGAGCATACGAAGGAATTGCTTGGACCACACTCTTTAAGGACTTCTCTCCCTACCCTAGACAAAAATTTACTATTCCACCATTGAATATGTCTCATAATTTTATCTGTAATAAAGTCAAAGATTTGCCTTTTGTTTCTTTCTACTATCATAGGAAGTTCTAGATAGTTCCCTCTCTCCCAACATTTCTCACCCCCCCCCCCCCCCCCCCAAAGAGTAACCCAATAAGAACTTAAAATAATGTGTATCACGTACTCAACTATTTATTTTGTCACATTTAATGTACAAGTATATTTTTTATAGTCATATTTGATCCTATTAGTCAAATATTCAACAATCACTTATAAATAAATGTAAATTTCTCTCATCCAAATGTTTAAAAAAAAAAAAAAAGACAAACTTTAAAATATAATATTGTGTATTTATATTTGAATAGAAGATATTTCTCTTGTAACAACCCTATACGCAAAAATTTTACATTTTTCAATAAGTGATTATTGAAAATTTGATCAGTAGAATCAAATATGACAAAATTAATTGTTGATGACCAAATATGAAAAGTAAATAATAATGAGGGACTAAAAGAAAAAATAGTATTGAAATAATTGATAAGTGAATTGTTAATAGCGGTGCAAGATTTAAATATAAATAAATAAACAAAAATCCTTGTTTTGAAGAAGAGTCAAACTCTGTAGATGCAACCGAATCTAAATCAGTCTTACTACAACAATTTTCTTTCTTTTTCTTCCCCCCTTTGGACGAATAGAAAAGCATCCAAGTTTGTACATAACGTTACCAAACAAGAGAAAATGAAAAAGAAAAAAAAAAAAAAAAACCTAAATATACTGAAGAAAAAGGGTTAATAATCTCTCAAGATTTTTTTTTTTTTTTTTTTTTTTTAGAATAATAATCTCTCAAGTTTTATGCAGTATCTATGCTTCTCAAGGAGCTTTTGAGAGACCACCTAAGGTTTTTATGGTTTGTTAGCAGCTACTATTTTTCTATTTTTCTATTTCTCTATTTTCTCAGCAGGTATACAAGTTTTTTTTACTTCTTTCCTAGTACTCTCTCTCACATGGGCAGTGGTGGAAACTCTTCTTCATTCTTCAGGTGGAATGACTGATCAGCAAACCTGAAAACACAAATCAGACAGCTCAAGAACATGTCAAGAAGCTACCGTTCTTTCTCTATATACCAAAGATTATAAAAACTTCCATACCTTTCTTTCCTACACAATGCTGGTTTTGCGCTTGGCACTTTGTCAGAGAGAGTAGTTGGGGTACGATCACGGGAAGAGCCTGAAAGAAAATCTTCGGGAAGTTTTCCTAGAGATCCGAATTCAATTTCGCATAGCAAATTTGCGAGACCATTTTCATCAGAATCTCCCGCTGGATGATGATCATATTGGTTGGGTGTAGAAAACTTCCCGCGTTTTTTACAAGAAGGTTGGGCATGTGAGAACTCTTGGCGACCATCATTTTCCAAACAGTTCGCCTCGGACAAGACTGGAACCCATCCATTGCTATTGGTGCCGTTATGGAACTGAACATCACTGCCAAATTCCTTGTTCCTACCCTTCGGTTTCCAAGGTCTCTCCCTGAAATAGTGATGCTGCACGATAGTTCTAAAGTTAGTTCAAGACCAAATTGGAAGCACTTTATCCAAGTCATGCACTAAGATTTGGGCTAATAAGTAGAAAATGATCAAACTAAAACTAAGCTAAAATGAAGAAGAAAATACCATATTTGGTACAAAAGGTTGTGGTAGTGGTGCTTTTGGTTTTTCTTCAGAACGAGTAACAGTGGATGATGAAGGGTTGGTGGGTGAGGAAACGAACGGCCTTACAATCACAGGCCTCATATTTGTCTTAGCGACCGAATTTTGTCCAGGTGTACTTGATTGTCGAACAGCGTTGCAGAACGCCTGGTTTTGAAAGTGAGATTGTGTTGAAGGATCAAACAACAATGATGCCATCAATGCATAACCATGGCAACACTGGCCATATATCAAACTCCTAATGTGGCAGTCATAATCGCCAGTGAGGTCGGCTAAAGGATTCAAAACTTCCAGATCACTAGCTATGCTAGCTAAGTCCCTTTCCCGAAAATCGAGGGATAAGCTTTCTAAAATGCTGGTCTTTGGAGTAGAGGTTGCTGAATCACCAGAACAGATGCTCTCACTGTAATCTGTCACAGACTGGTATATGCTGCTATTCTCCAAAGGAAACTCTCCTTGGTCTATACATGAACCAAAGCCTGGATTCCCATAAACATAATCAAATTGACCGCTTTGGAAGAGGGCCCAATTCTTGCAACTCCCATTTATGGCACTAGATTTAAGAGAGTGAAATTCGGGTGCAGAGTAATCTAGACCAGATAGAGAATCGCTACAATTCCCACTTGTTGAACAGTTAGACATGCTATTTGTAGAACTAGGGTTTAAGGCATGGGAGCACGCAGGATCATCTGTATCACCAGATAGACCATGTCCTGAAACAGTAGCCCCAATTGTTAAGCTGCTACATTCAGAGACCGTTTTCATCAACTTGTTCGCTTCATTTCTTAATACTGAACCACATTTATCTTCCCATTCAAAATTATCATTCTCACAATAGCCAAATGATGAATTCAAAGGCATTTCATCCTCAGAGATAAATTCAGCAGGGGAAGGCGAAGACAATACCCCAGAACCATTAGGGCAACATTTTAGGGAAGAGTGCTTCAAATTATAAAAAACATTGTGTCCATGCCTATCAATGGTGTTCGCAAAGAACTTTGTTATCCCATCTCCAATTTTATCCGGAGAGGATAAGAGAATCCGGCCAAGCTTGCGGGCTCCATACTTGAATGCACTACGTATGCGATAGTAATTGCCTGCACATAACCAACCATCACAACTTAACAGTGCAAAGATCAAAAGTTTGTACATGTAAAAGGACCGTGGCATGATGACATGAGCAATTTATTACTGAGCATCCTCTTAGCTTTTGTTTGTGGAATCAGAAAATTCTTTAAATTAGATGATGAGGGTGAGCATCATTGCTTAAATTTTTTATACTTAATTATCCCACTTCATCCAGAAATTTTTCTTAGAGACTCTTTGGTAATTCCAGCAAGCTTCTCTTTCAGACAAAGATATTGTTAACAAGTATTAACAATAGGAAGAGAACTTGAGTACTTATATTTTAGAATCTTAATGTCATTAATGACACGACACAGTCACACAGGAAAAACTTATGGGTCCCAACTAAGCTTTTGTATATGACAGAACAGATTGTAAATAAAAATTTTGGGATTAATTATCCTCTCTTCATTCTTCATTAAATAACTAGAATTAACAATACCTTCAAATTTAATGGTTATCACTTCATATGACCAAAAGGACAAAAATAGGTCATAATATTTTGCATTCATTCTCATTAATTCTCTACTAATCAAACAACTAAGGGGGGATTGGTTCCACAGGTACAGGTTTATTTTCCAACTAACAGAAAAATCTTGTACAAATTAAGTAAATCATAGAAGTTCATTGTACCTCGATGAACACTGCGCCCAAGATTGTTGGTTTCCTTCAATGGGTCAATTATATTGAGATGCTTTTGTTTAAATACTCTTGTGTTACCAATGACTCTTGATGGAGCTGAGAACATTTCCATACAATTCCTCAAAAATTCTTCACTAAGCAACAGATTACCTCCATTGTCAGGTATGCTAACTGCAAATGAGAAAGAATCCAATGATGAGTAAACTGGCCAAATAAAGAGACACAATTCTTTATCCACCTGAACAGACATGTACTCAGTAATTAAAAAAGAATCATCCATCCACAAATCCACACTCACAGAAAGAATAAATGGCATATGCACAAGTGTGCAAACTGCAAACAGATATCAAATTCACAAACATTAAAGAACAGCCAGCTTTAAAGGATAAAGTTACTGCTTACCCACAATCTCAGGAAGGGATGCCTTGCAAACCGGTCCATTCAAACTAATGCAGTATTTCTCCCAATCAAACCTGCTGTAATAATCCAAAAATCTATAGAGAACCTAAAAGAATTTGAACAACTATAATCAGCTAGACTTGAACATACTTCTCCAACATAGACAAAGTAAACATGTTAAGTCACTGGCAATTACCGCTAGAGGACCATTTAAGGATGAATGGAAAAATTGGAAGATATATAAGATCAGTGTTTCCAATGCATATGTAGAAATCAAACCATGATGAGAACCAAGAATCCGGCTTTCATAATAACACCAAGATTTTATCAGCATAATACTGTGCTTAAAGAGATGATTCTTGCCAATGAGACGATCCACCTGGATGGGATTGTACAAACAGAAAAATGAGCAAGAACAAAAAATAATCACCAGCAATAATAGTCCAGGAACCAATCATTTTTTCATTGCACCATAGCTGTTCAATGTATTCTAATACTTCACCTGCTCAAGGAAACAGAGTGAGCAGAGACCTCCTAACTGATTAAAAGATATATCAATGACAATATCCTGTACCAGGCATTTAACAAGTTTAACCTGCCATCAGAAATCCAGTCATATTAGTAGATGGAGATACCAAAGATCATTAAAAAGGGTTTAGAAGTACAATACAATGCATAAATGATTACATTTGAAGATATGTTTTGTTTTCAAGTTATGCATAAGGCTATCAACTAACCCATCGCCTAAACCCACTCATTCCGATACCCATATTAATCCCCACCCTACCCCATCACCATCACAACCCACCCCTGCTTCACCTCCTTTGGCCAACCACACAAATCATCTTCTTTTATCCAAACTCTCTAATCATAACTACATTGACATACAACTGACCACACCCCACCACCACCTATGACCCACCAACCGTAACCAACTTTTTTAAAATCTCATTATTGTCAATTCATGCACTGTTTTTTTTTTTTTTTTTTTTTTTTTTTTTGGTATTTCTTGAATAAAAAAAATTGTATGGTTTTGTTTTCAAGAACAAATGATACATTCTTGCCTCTAGACAAACCTCATTAATGAAGGCAACTTCACTTTCAAACAGAAGCTTGTTAATAACATTTTATAAACATCTAGGCTAAAAGAGAAACAATAGGATAAATCATCGTGATGCCAGAAAGAACTGAGCAAACAACAATAAATGGATTTAGAACCCCGCTCAATTCATAAAATAAGATAAAATATCAACTATCAGATGAAAGACAACCTCAGCATCAATGAATTGAGTATCCCTGACTTCATATTCAACATTTTCTTTCTTCTCTTCTTCCCGTAGAAGAGCAAGGACATCATGCACCAAAAATTCTTCAGTATTAGGAGCAGTAAGAGCAGTCAAATCTATATCTCCATCAGGAAGATAAGTCTTAAGAGGCACTGATCCATATGGGAAAACCTATAAAATTAGCAAACATATTAAATGAAACCTATCTATTTAATCAAATAGGATTTTGATGTTTTATAAGTATTAATAAATAAATAAAGTTCATAAACCAAAATATTGTTATTACTGCCTCAACACAAGACTGTAATCAAGTAAAAAAGTTATTGTGTGCCAAAGTTCTAGCACCCAATCAATCCTCTAAAAGCAAACATCAGCTGATAACAGTTGGATAATAAATTTCATCAAGTTTTTAGACAGACCAAAAAAAAAAAAAATGGAACTGATATACTGCATCCTATAGCATCACTATTCCCATTCAGAATCTCATGGATATATATATATATATATATATATATATATATATATATATACATATATATACAAGATGCTAAAATATGGCAAAAGCTATACTGCTAATTAGTTTGTGCGGGAATGAACATATTGGTTCACATAAGAGTGCATGTAAAATACCAAAGGGAGTCATTCATATTCAATGTAATTTCAATAATATTTTTGCCACAGTTGCATATCAGCATATGTATGTGGTCAAATAGTTTCTTGGTCCATCAATGGCACTTCTGGATTAAAAGGAACTAAAAGAGGGACACCATTTGCTGCTCAAACTGCGGCAGCAATTGCTATCCGTATAGTAGTGGATCAAGGTATGCAATGAGCAGAAGTCATGACTAAATGGACAACAAAACCTAGTCTTAACAGAGCATTGGAAATGAAATTGATACACTAAAAACAGTTTCAAGGGGTTGGAATTGAATACTTAAATCGTTAAAACAGGCCAATCTTGCACAAAACCTCTCCATAACAGTCACCTTATGCTTCAAATGGGCACCAAAATCTAGACTTAACATAGCATTGGAAATGAAATTGATACACTAAAAACAGTTTTCAAGGGGTTGAAATTGAATACTAAAATCATTAGAACACCGCCAATCTTGCATAAAACCTCTCCATAGCAGTCACCTTATGCTTCAAATGCACAACGAAATCTAGAATTAAAAGAGCAGTTAAAAAGTGAAATTTGTTACAGTAACACTGCTCACTCCATCCACAAACACAACATACACGCAGAATCACACAGGCAACACAAAAGCAAGGCATGCAAAGAGGAAAAAGCATCGAATTATACCTCACAGGCAAGAGAATCTCTGATCAGCTTCTGGATATACTCCATGACGTCCTTCCTCTTCTCCTCGGAATCCATGGTGGGGTGGATACAATTCACCAACTCTTGGATCATTTCCTCGGCCGAAGTCCAACATTCCTCAGCAATGGCAGATGGATCAGGCTGAGTGATCCCCAAACGGTCCTCCATTCCCACCCCTCTGGGCCCACCACCACAATACCCCATATAACAGAACCCAAAACCCAAACGCGGAAACTCACACAGCTAGGGTTTTCAGACCACAACACACGCAAAATCCTAGAGTAAAACCATACAGCGGGAGAGGGGTTTTATACACAAAATCACGAAATTGGAAAGTAGTAAAGCTGATCAACAAATATCTCAAATGGCGGTGTCTGTGCATACATACACAGCTCAGATACCTGTGATCAGCTTGTATGTATGAATGAATATCAGAGAAGAAACGAAGAAGAGAAAATTCACAGAAAGAGACAACTCAAAATTGTCTCCCCTATCACTCCCACCCCACCTGCAACACCCCACCACCCCTCCTTATCAGTTGCTTATTCTTCTTTCTTCTTCTTGTTCTTCTTCTTCTTGAGAATTTAGGGGGAAAAACAAAAGAAAAAGAAAAATAAACCTGCGTCAGACCTCTTGCTATTTATGCATTGAATTTCAGACTTTTCAGTTTGGATAATCTCTCTCTCTCTCTCTCTCTCTCTCTCTCTCTCTTCGTGACTGCGCATATACATACAGGGGGCGGTGATTTCGGTTATAAAAATAAATAATAAATAAATAATAATAATAATAAAATACTATATATACTCCCTTTCTTACTCCCCACTTCTATTTATCTAATATAAAATTTTTATGTAAGAAAATTTACGGGATGAAATATTATGTCATTAATTATCAGATTATTATGAATTAAAAGTGAATGAACAGAATTTAGAATACATGTAATAAAACTTTAAAAAAAAAAGTTAATTCTAATTTTGATGTGTCAACTGTTTTTTTTTTTCCTTTTTTCGAGTTTAAATATGGTATCTGATTATTAAAATTTTGACACTTTAAGTATATTCTTAAATATTAAAAGTGACAATTTTTGGAAGCAAATCCTAACCAAATTTGTGATTTAATAATCAAAAGATTATAAGTTAAACGCTCACACGAGCGTTACATTATTGGTTGATCAATTAGGATTTAGTTTTTAGGACAATAATGATTGTGGATTTCTCACCCAAAAAGTGATAATTTTTATTAACTAATGATTTTTTTTTTTTTGAAACACTTGTGATTCTCTATAATGTAGTATCAATGCTCCCACCATCGAGGTTCAATCCTGTGACCACATATTTAGAAGGGTAACAAAGGTCTCATCACACAACGCATTAGTTGACAAAGAATTAAATTTATTTAATTTTGAATTTAAAAATATAAATAAGCATAATAGTTGAAGGACCAATCGTGTAATTAACCTAAATAAGGTTAATAAGCTATTTCTAATACTTCATTTTTTTCGTCTTTTAGTTTGATTGTGGACGATATTAAAGAACTAGCATTTATGATTGAGGATGTTGATTTCTGTTTTGTAAAACGATTTGTGAATCTGGCCGCCCACATTATTACTCGGGAGGTCGTCTCTGAGTTAGGTTGCAGGGAGTGGTTTGATACTCCTCCTCCTTTCCTCGTTGATTGTATTTTTGATGATTTAATGAATTAATTATTTTCTTTCAAAAAAAAAAGTTAATTTATATGATATTATTCTTTGTAAAATAGATAGGTTAAATTAATTAATGCTTGTAGATTTTTTATTAATTGTAGATTTTTATTTCTAATTAATGAATTTCATCTTTTATTTTTAAAAATCTCAATTTTAGATAGTAATCTTTTGAATAAGATAATACTCCCTTCATTTCATATTTTATGTATTTAATTCTATTCTATTTTTAGAGAGGACATTATGTGACCGCTCAGCCAAGAGAATATTAATAAAAATGATCATATCCAAAAATAAGAGTTATATTTTATCCATTCAGTCATCCCTTCTAAATGGATAATGCCTTAAATTTGTCAATGTGCTCAAGTGCTCCATTAATTTGATGAAAATATGCAATTTGATTAGGCTAAAGACATAATCGCGTTGAAACAAACTGAAATACTAAAAGTTGACTCGCAACTTAATTTAAGATTTTGACTTTAAAATTGAGTTTTAGCTCAACCAATATACTGTCAACTTGACTGCATTAATCCAATTTAAGCTTTTAAACTTAATTGAATCATTCATTTCGTATTACCAATTCATATAAGTGTATTAATCTAATTTAAGCTTTTAAACTTAATTGAATCATTCATTTCGTTTGACCAATTCATATAAGCGTACTGACCATGGTTGAGTACTAATTGACTATACATACTTTTCAACCTACTGAAACACAAAGAGTCAATACCTTCAATGAAATTCGAACCTATAACCTCCTATTTGGGAGAGTCACAGTTATGCCGCTTAACCACAAGATCATTGGCAAGCTTTTAAACTTGATAACAAACCTGACCGTGATCGTGATCGAATACTACTAACTCTGTTAGATTGTAATATTTGTCGATACATACTTTCTCAACTTACTGAAATACAAAGAGTCAATACCTCCAATAAAATTCAAACCAGTGACCTCGCATTTCGGAGAACCACATTTATGCCGCTTAACCACCAAGTCATTGGTAAGCTTTTAATTTTTAAACTTGGTTCCAAACGAATTGAACCATTCATTTCGTATGACCAATTCATATAAGCTTACGACTTGCGCCCTGGTGTACTGACCGTGATCTTGCCATTTTCTTTACGACTTTCGTTGTAATAAAAATTGGACTTTTTAGGGCGGAATTTAAGGATCTATACTTGCTTGCACTTCGTTAAGTCAAGGCCTCAAAACTCCTTTTAATTGATATAAATGTTTCTTTACAAATATACAAATCAAAAAAGAATGCAAAATAAGCCAAACAATTGTGGCAAAGAAATTGACCCTTTTTAGTAAAATATTTAACTTATAGCAAATTTTGACTTGTTTAACTATTATTAACTGTTTAACTTAACTAAACAATCAATATGAATATTTGATTAATTAACTTTTTAAAATTGCTTATTGTTTCAAAATACTAAAATTAAAAAAATGTTCAAAATAACTTTTTAAAAAACATCTTACATGTAATCAACTATCAACTAATAACTAATTTATCAAGCACCATTCTACAATTAACTGGTCAAACCCACTAACTCAATCAGCTTCAATTATTTACCAAGCATCCCCATTATAGTTTAGTAGTATAAAATTTACACCCAAAAAAAAAAAAACTCACAATTAATATACCCAAAAAAGTACGCCCATCCTGTGACCAACATACCTTACCCTATGACGAACCAATATACTTATAACAAGTAAGCTCAAACCAAAAAGACTAATAAACAATTTAGTCAAACTTAGGAAAACTTGTATAATTAGTTAAGTTGATATGATTCCAATTTTTTCTTATCATATATGTATTTGAAATGCATTTCTTCCCTTTGAAAACAGAGAATAAAGAATAAAAATCTAAAAGATGGACAATGGGAGAAGAGAAAACTGATAAAAGTTAGATAATTGAAGTAAACACACCCACTATTGATCCTCTGTTCTGCAAAGGCAATATTGAGGCCACAGCCCAAGAGAATGCTTTAGAAATCACAAAAGCCCCAATGAACAACCAAGTGCAAGAATCACATGCATTAACATACCCCAATAGGGCCTTCCCTTCAGCAAAATTTGAGCTATGGAATTAAGGTCTCAAAAATAATATTTCATAGAACAAGAATCTCTTTGTTTTCCATACTAAATAGAACAATTTGATAATTAGTCTGAACTGAAACAGAACATAATGAAAAAAACTAGCAGCATCTATAACTTGCATAACCTTAAAGGAATGCCAAAAACTCTCATAATAAGGCAAATCAATCAGTGAGCATCCTTCTAAGTTCTGGGAGCCGTTGGAGCTCCAGCGGGCCTTGGAGCTTGACCAGGCTTTGGCTGATCATCCTGCAAGAACCAAAGGGTAAATTATATCAGGTGTCAGACATTGATCTAATGGCAGAAAATATACATCAGACTTAAGGAAATCATCTCCGGTAGGCACAAGGGCATCCGGTGCAAGTGCATTGAAGAGACATCAGATTCACAAAAGAAAACTGGACAACATATCCTACTTGCCCAATAGATTACTGTTCCTGAGGTAGACAGTCCAAAGTTTAACGACAAACTGTAACCCTTAATGAAGTGAAACCAGAAAACAATCTTCCTCAATAATGAAATTGTAGTGAAAGTCCTAACAAACTACAATTATATATTAGTAACACAAGGATGACACACCAGCAGGGCATGTTGGTTCATAAGCAAAGATAGTCAAGTAACTGATAAAACATGAATTCTCAAATCTCAATAGTCTCAAAAGAAATAAAAAGCAGTTAAAATCAGATAAATGAAGTACAGAGTACCAAACAAGGAAATCACAATTACTATACTTAAACACAAAATAAGAAAAAAGCTAAAAGTACCCTAGGGCGTCTGAAGCGTTGTGGAGCTTCACGGATCCTTCTATCGGTACGAGAGCGGACCCTGACAACCTTGGAATGAATTGCGCAGGAAACACAGTACTGCATCTTCAAGTAGAGCTTGGGAAGTGTGTAACCTGGGTGGATGGGAAAACAATTGTTAGTTTGTATAATTATGAATATTCACAACAATAAAATGGTCAACATATGAAGAACCTACTTTCAAAAGCACAAGCCTCTTGGACATCCCTAACTGCTGCTTGTTCAACAATGTTCCTAACAAGGAATCTCTTAATGGCCTTATCCTGAAAGACAAGTAAAGCACATACCCATCAGCTGGAGAAGTGAAACAAATTCAAAACGTTAAGATGAGCCATAGAGAATCTGCAGATAAAATTCAGATTGCCTAAACTTTCTATCTAATACACCCAACAGAACTAATTGTTCAGTTAAAGCCAGCAGACAAGTCCTCAAGGATCAAGAATAAATTGGATTTCAACACAAACATTACAATCCATGATCAGACTCGCATCCCCAATTCACAAACACGTTAAAATGTTCAACAATAACTTAAAGACTCAATAACCTTTGTTTCTTCATATTCATTCATACAGTACATAATGACTAAAAACAACACCCCTCATATCAATTTCTGGTCAAATATTAACAACCTAGAAAAATGAAAATCCAATATATCTAAGCTCTGAGACATACAAAATTACAGATCTCGCGCCGCATTACAATTCAGATACACATAGTCGTATTCCTTGGCCGGGAAACACTAAAATGCAACTACCACCACTAAGATCGAGTACAAAAGTTCATTTCAATTGAACCTCGCTGCAACAATCTAACGTAGCATATGCATGAAACAAAAAAACCCTACAGAGTATACTTCAATACACGCGATTATATAAAAGGAAAATCCGCATAGTGATTCACAGACCTTTGGGCAGCATTTACCGCAGTTGGAGCAGCGGATGAAGTTAACGTGGCCACGGCCGTGCTTGTTGCGGCCACCATTCCTTCGCTTGAATGTCTGCAAATAGAAAAGTCAGATAACATGTTTTCCATGAGAGAGGAAAGAACAGAAACAAGCTTTTCATTCACCATTTTTGCGGTGTAGACGAAGGCAGCCGGTACAGCTCGGAACTCCAATGGCTGAACTCTCTAGGGTTAGCGCTAGGGTTTCAGGGACTAACGTTTTGAGGGTTTTATATTGCTGCTTGACCCAATCGGCCCATCTGTAAACGCTGGGTCGGCCAGCGGTTCGGATATCCTCCGGGTCCGGGCCCAACTTTCTTTTAAGGGTTATTTTCACTTTGTCCCTTATAGTTTAAGGATATTTTATTTTGATCAAATACTGAGTAATAGTAATAGTCACTCTACCCCTTGTAATTAGAGGCTAGTATCACTTAACCCTTGCAACTTTTTGTTAATGTTGAATGAAGTGGCCTTTAGGCTTATGGTTTTTCTTCTTTTTTTTTGGGCAAACTCCTTCCATTATAAATAAAAGCTTACTCTTTGGCCAAAAACATGGTAGCTCGTTGGGGAAGAAAGGAAACAAAATTGATAAAATTGAATAGTTAATGTACTAAATTAATAAATTTAAAAGTTGTGGATTGCAATTAACAACATCTTAATAATCACATGACCAACTTAAAATTTACTCTTGATTTAAATATATGGCCATTATCTTAGTGGGTTAGTTGTTTTTCTAGTTTCCATGATTATATGTTGTATGAATGATTCAGTTACGAGATGAATGAGAATTCACGTGAGCACTTTTCCTCTCAATTTACAGTTCTAGTTTTCTTTCTTCTTTCTCTGTCTATCTTGTATTGTGCAAAAAGATTTTCAACGAATATCAACCACGTCAAAAATAAGATCATAATTCATAACAACAAGTTCGAACTCATTAATTTTTACCATCACCATCTTTAATAAGGTACGATAATAACTTCATTACAAATAATATATGAAACCATAGCTCATGTGGTGAAGAATAGTTCAATTAGCCCAATGTGATTTAAGTTCATATGTTGGCAAGATGAATTTCTTTTGAGTAAAGATTTACTAGAGTTTTTTGCACTTTTAGTCCCACGACTATAGTGGCACTAGTAGAATTGTCACGACTTTTGAACCTTGCAATTTTAGTCCACGACTATTGATTTTTTTGCAAAAATGGTCCTTTCGGCCATTTTTCCGTCAAAATTTCACCGGAAAAAAAAAATTCTCTATTTTTAGCCGGGTTAAAATTGACATTTTACTTATCTCAAAAAATTAAAAGAAAAAAATTAATATTTGACTACATACAATATTACTGGGCTACATACTACTGCCCCAGGCGGCGGAGTACATGTACCACTCCAATGCTGCTGCCGGATAACCCAACTAGCCCGGGGAACGCCACGGCCGCTCCACCGCTTACTGACAGCCCTGCCTGCTCCAGGAACTCCGCCGCCTGGGGCAGTAGTATGTAGCCCAGTAATAATGTATGTAGTCAAATATCAATTTTTTTCTTTTAATTTTTTGAGAAAAGTAAAATGTCAATTTTAACCCGGTTAAAAATGGAGAATTTTTTTTTTTTCCGGTGAAATTTTGACGGAAAAGTGGCCGGAAGGACCATTTTTGCAAAAAAATCAATAGTCGTGGACTAAAATTGCAAGGTTCAAAAGTCGTGGATCAATTCTGCCAGTGCCACTATAGTCGTGGGACTAAAAGTGCAAAAAACTCAGATTTACTACAAGAAGCCAACAATTGAGCCCAAATACAATTTAAAAAGGATATTTCATCTACATTAGACCAATCATTATTGTGTAGACCATGGTTCACACAAGTTGTGTGGACCATATTTTGTATATTGTAAAATAATGTACATTCAGTACAAAACTATGTACATTTATTATATTAAAAATGTACTTTTTGTTATGATTCACATAACACTGTGTGGACCAATTTGCCTAAATTAGACACACATGGTGGCCTTTCGTCTAAAATGACATTATTTTATATTCTGTTGTTAATAACATCAATTAATATATCATGTTTAATAATATTCATCATATATTATGTTGATACTACTTGTTCTATATGTTAATAAATATAAATTTTTAATGTCCATAAACATTAAACTGTAACTATGTAAGTCCATTATATATATTCCATTAACACTATAATATGTTCATAATGTTAAACTAAAACTTAATGTACATAATCTTTACACTACATGTGATGTGTATAATGACTCAGGTGTGCAATGAAGAGCAGAAGAGTGTGAATGACTGCTAAGTCGCTAACTATGCTTCTTTGATACAATACATTATTTCAGACCAGAATCCACAATATAATAATTGTTGCATGTTTTAATAATTAATAATAATGTTAGCAATATTCACATCCATACTCAATTACTCGAATTAAATTGAAGTTGCTATAAAATAAAATAAGCATATCTTTTGGAATTTATAATCATATCCTTAAAATTTGTATTCAAAGAAAAAGCTCATTGTCACATCATACGGAAACAAAACAACAAAAGCTTATACAAAACAAAATACAATGATCAAGCGGGTGCTAGCTAGTTAGCTACCTCAGCTTGAAAATATTAACTTTGCATTACAATTGCCACAAAACCATACGAGTCATCAAAGACTCTGTAAAACTACTAATAAGCATTAAAATTGAACACCCTCAAAAGTTTGACCAAATTGCCAATTAGTTGGTGCCACATTATAGCTCGTGAGAGCTCTTCCATCACCCGCCGTAACCCTGAAAGAAAGGCTTTGACCGTTGAAATTAGAGTTGCTTTGCCAATTTTGACCCCAGTTCCTTGACATGGTTTGCCACCCCGTCTTTGACCCTTTGATCGAGACTTGATAGACATTTCCTGGACCCGCCACGTTGGTGACCAAGACCAAGTTGAAGTAAGCATGCCCATTGATTGTAAACCTTATGCCTCCTTTCCTCACACACGGCACCCTAGAAGACAATAATAATATTAAAAATTACGTTTTACCATTCAATTTCCTCTGTCTTTTATATCATATACAATACATTTGGTTGAATCGGATAATGTGAAAATAGTCTACACGGAATTAGCTCACTGATTCATTAGGTAATATTTGGGAGTTCAAACCTCGATAACGATAGTGTGAGAATTATGCCAAAAAGTGGACAGATTCGCACGGCCCAGGGTGTGGAGTCCTTGGAGTTGGGAATTCAGACGGATAATGTGAAAACAGATGTTAAAGATACTCAAATTTGGTACAATATAATGTTACTCTTACCTTCTATAGACTACCGGGACAATTCCTGCACGGTACTTAGCGATGTGCAAGAACGCGGGCTGGGCCATGTCAAAATGTTGGAGGGGAGGATTGCACCACCCGCCGTCATTGTTGGGCAAAGCATAGTTGGGAGGGCAAAAGTTTGTGGCGGTTACGGTGATGGTTCCGGGGAGGCACGACCTGGAGTCGCCGTCGCATCGCAGCTCGAAACACTCGCCGCAGCTCAGCCCATTGTTGAACAGCGCCGTGCTTAGTGCTGCGGTTTGCGTTCCGTATCCTTGACTATATAAATTCCCGTAGCCACACGCGCCACCTTTAATTTAGTCAAATAAACAAAAGCCACACTAATTAATTAAAAATTCATTGCCCAAAAAACCGTCATTTTCAGAATCTGACCCGAATGAATAATAAAAGTGTTAAGATCAAGTATTTAACACTCTGTAAAAAATTATAGTTCGTAACCATTATTTCTTTATAGACCAGCATCACATTTTTCGTGCTGGACTTGTCTTTCATTCATCCATCTCCTAACCACCAATGATGGACTTAGCCTTTTATTGACCTCCGCCCAACAAAGAGAATAAATTAAGTGAAAAGATTAGTGTCTAGTGTCCACGAGTAACACACCAAATTGGGTGAAACTCTCAGTGTGAGAGTCTATACTTGATTGATCTTGTGTTTTTGCCCTTCATTTACTTACTCAGGAGCCAGGTGAGCTGCCCATGTTGGCATTAATTAGAAATCCAATAATAAGAGTTACTAGGTAGAACTAGAGGATGAGATGAAGCTTACCCATTGTGCCGGAAGCATCGCCGCCGCCGTAGAAGGTGGCGTGCGCGGATTGCCAGCCGCCGTAGTCAGCCACGGCAGTGCTTTGTAGTCGTAGCAAGAAGATAGCCAAAAGAGTAAGTTTTGCATAAGAAAATGCCATGGCTGCTGCTTCCATCTTTAGATAGAGAATTGCAGTGTATGTAACTTTAGAATTGAATGTTGCAATGAGCTTGAAGCCTTGAAGCATGGAATGTCTATATATATAGAGAGAATCAGGCCCCACCTCCCACCATTCTTTCCTTTTATTTTATTATTATTATTTGTTTGGTACATATTCTTTTCCTTTAATACTATTTTTCTTTTATTAATTAGTATTACTAATTATTTTTAATTTTCAATTTTTTTTTTGAAAGTGAATAAAGGCAAAACATGCATACTGTAGCGAGGGAGACACAATATTACAAGATGAAGGTGATTGCCGGCCAAAATGGCAATGAGGGTATTGTTTGTTTGCTTGCTAGATTTTCTTCTTTTAATACTCCGTATATATTTTTAAAAATTTATATAGCCATCATGCATGCATAGAAAGGACAATGACACGAGACTAAGCGTAAATTATTCTGTGGACTCGGATTCAAATGTTCACAATTTGCATATTAAATGTTCATAATTTATCATTTTAAAATTTACAATTTGTATACTACGAACACACAATGTTAACATATATGTAATTGATTATCTTATTTTATGTTCACAAGTTATTTTCAAATACTGCACTCACACAATATTAACAAATTATGATTTGATGACCTTGCATTGTATTGTATTCACAAGTTCCCTTCTATAACTGTTATGTGTTTTGACTTAGAAAGACAATTTATATTATAGTAGTTCACAATTTCAATACTAAATACATGTAATTTATACATCGTTTAGGACTAGGGTCCACCTTGCAAGGTGGACCTTGGTCCATGGTATAACAACTCGAGACTAAAAAACAAGTGCAACACGGCAAATTATTGTGTGGACCATGAATATAGAGTACATTTTTAATATACTGAATGTACATTATTTGTGTATTGAATGTACATTATTTGATAGTATATATATAATAATGTACTTTCAATACTAAAATAATGTACTTTCAGTACTAAAATAATGTACATTACGTATACAAATAATGTATCTTTAATATATTAAAAATGTACTTTTTATTTATGATAGAAACTCTTTGTCTCCGTCCAAGAAAACGAAGCTTCGTCTGGATGGAGACGAAGACTTCGTCTCCATGTCTGGAGACGAGGAAACTCTTTGTTTCGGCCATCCAACCAGAACTTCTGTTTTTTTTTTTTTTTAATAATTATTATTTAAAATTTATTTTTTTAAAAATGATTTAATTTAGGATGACCTGTTGGAAACCTGCAAATGAACTGCATGAATTTCGTAAGTTTAGAAATCTAATTGTTGATTTTTTAGATTCAGTGGCCTAACTAATTGCATTATCGTGTGTATGACCTATTTGACTCTTATTCCAAAAATTTATATTATCTAGCAGAGATAGATAATGAGAGTGTGGGATCGTAAAGATGAAGACGGAGAGTATATATTAACGCTTATAAACAACATCGTGATTGATATTTACTAATTAAAAAAAAAAAAAAAAAACTCTAGCGCCCGTCTTTTTTCTCTCATTTGGTGCAATACTTGACTTGTTACTTTATTGAGTGTTTACACCAACGATATACATTATAATTAAATAAACATAGATAGATGTTATATATCTTATAATATATCTAATCCATTCTTAACCTTTACTATTAGTATAATTTCAGAATATTTGGCCTAAACGAGTTAAAATTAAGCTTCCAGCAGCATGGTGAGATTTGATATTTTCTACAAATATTAGAGATTTGAATTTTGGAATAAGTTCTTTGTTCACAGAAGTGTACAATTTGATATTAATTTTCAAAATTAAACTAACCATATTTATTTACTTATGAGCCTAAGGGCAAGTTCATAAAATATATGATATAGTATGAAAAATCGAAAAATTTAAGTTATAAAACAATCATTTAATAAAGTTGGGCTTAGGTAAGGAAAAAACCAAAAGTGCACATGCAATAGTTGTAATTGGCCTGTAAGTAACAACCGCCAGGCACGCGGAACCCTCCCCCGCACATGCATTTCTTGGGCGGTTTTGTAACCTTATGCCCAAAATAAAATAAAATCTTATTTTATTACAATATTTGTTTAATGCATACGTGTATCACTTCCATTAGATAAAAAAATAAGTTAATGAGTAGAAGAGGTAATCTACACCAGCTACTCATGGCCCAAGTGAAAGGAGTTTATTTTATCAAAAAATTAGTCACTTTTTTTTTTTTTAATAATAATTTCCGACGTATTATATCCTATAATAAAATTTAGTTGAATTTCTGATGTATCAAATTAAACTTTCAGACATACCAATCGTTGAAGACTGAAACTTATGACGTTGGAAATCAATATTTGATTTAATGAGATAGTTTTATCGATATATGTGCATGTCATGTTAAAGAGGTGAATCTGGTATTCTGTGAGTAAGAGTCAAGCTTGATCTGCATGCACGATTAGAGTCGAGTATATACTAACCTCACTCAATGATGTTATACATACAAAAAAAATATTATTGTAAAAAAAATGTTATTATATCTTCATCATATCATACATAATTTTTTAATTTAATTAAATTAAACGATAACTAAAAGAAATAATTATTTAATGGGGACAAATATTTCTTCTTAAAAATATATTCCGTATTTTTTTTATAATTGTTGAGGGGACAGGATAAGAAAGCATCTACGTAAGGATATTTGTTTTACCGTGAGGGTTGTTTGGTACAACCTTAAATTGCGCCTATTATTTGGAGAAGATAATTGCTGGATTGGTTTGGTGGACATGATATTCCTTGTATCCTTATTCCCCACGCTATGCTCCAAAGAGAATCATTGCATGCATTCATGCGAACAACTAAATTCTACTTTGAATATGCATGCACTCTTTGAAATCCAACATCTTCACTACATCTAGAGGACCAAATTTGAAAAAAAATTAACTCAAGAGACCACTTATGGTTAAATTGAATGTCGACAAAAATTGATAAAGATCAATAGTCAATGGATAATTTATGGTCCAATTGAAAGTTGAAGGATAAAAGTTGATAAATGACAATAATCAAAGGATTATTTCTGAAATTAGCATTGAGAATTATCCTCACCAAGCTAGCACATATATTTGTTTTGTAATAAGTGTGTTACAAACTCATGATATAACATTGTCTAATTATATATTATTAATTAAAGACCTATAATGGGCATGATTTCACCTTCTAGGCTTCTATGTGTTTTACTTTATTCATGGCCTTTGGATGTATGGCCAATGAACAATCTATTCCATAGGCCGATCAACGACAACTTAGACTGGGTTATCTCGTGGTCCTTTGTCAACTAAGATCACAAGATAAGATTTATTCAATACACACCTTCAAGTAGTGGCTGTAAGTTTTCCTCATTAAAAAAATTATCTATTTCCACTTCTATGTTGATTAATTAGCTTAGCCCGACCTCTCTAGTTCATTAGCCAAACGAGACCCGGCCCCAGGGACAGAACCAGGAATTTCATTGGGGGGGGAGGGGGGGGGAGGGCGAAAAAGCAGGGACGGATCCATAAATTTTTTCCAGTGAAGGCGAAACGTTAAAACAAAAGAGATAATTTGAAGAAAAAAAAATATCTAAGAAATATAGGTATAAATATTGTTGGATATGAGCAAAAAATAAAACCCATCGAAATTTTATAAAAATATATATTCATAACAAAATATGAAACATAATTAATTTGATAAAATAATTTGAATAAAAAACACATTATAAATTACACATCTCATTATTAATATAAAAGAATGTTATATGTGTGTGTGTATTAAATATTAAAAAAAAATATTAAAAATGTGATTGTGTTGAAATCAAAAAAACTATGAAAATATGTTAATGACAAGATTTGAACCCGTGACCTTTATTATAACCAAACACATACTTTGCAAACTAATCTAACTCAGTTCTTATTAATATTTATCTATTTTTTATACTAATACTAAAACTTGTACTATATATACATATATACATACAAAGGTTATATATGGGGTGGGGGTGGGGTGAGGGGGGGCAGCTGCCTCCCTGCCCCTCTTTGGCTCCGTCCTTGCCCGGCCCCTCTTTTTAACTCCCACAATGTCGCCATAAACCTGTTTGTTATGTCGTAGCATTGCAACTGACATTGAGAACGTGTATGTTCACCATGTCGCTCATGTGTTAACACTGGTATCGAGTTCTACTTCTGTCCTAGGATCGTAATTTACTATGCCACCATCCTGCATTTCTCTTTTGGTTGATGTTTAATGAAATTTTTTTTTTTTTTTGAAAATGATGTTTAATGAAATTTACTTCATCCTTTATTTTAAAAAAAACCAATATACCAAATAACTATATATCATGATCACGTATTATTTTAAAATATCAATATATTCTAATTTATTTATCTAATCTTACCTAATTTACACTGTAAATATACCCGACCACCATCACATTATTTTAACAATTCATCTCTTAACCTATTATTTATCATTATATTACCATACCTACTATATATTTTAGTTGAATGTCATAATATACACATTAATTATATATCATTGTGGTTCATTGTCATTATAGTGTGTGTGTATATATATAATTACACTGACAGTGTACTGTAGTGTAGTGTATGTATATATGCATGGGCAGGAAAGCTTTATTGGCTGTAACTTTTGACAAATTGTGGAATGATTTGGAAAGGGGAGGCTTAGTGTCATTGACGATAACTTAGAAAAATTGTGGTTTAAGCAATGATAAGTCGGTGATGTGATGTTAAAGATACAAGTACCACAATTTCATATTTCCAGATCAGAGGATACAAATGAACTTTAATTTACAATTACACAAAAAATGTAAATTATACTAAAAATTTTTTTGTATGATTAATACATTAAAAAATTAAATTTGTAACACTTTACGAAAATTATGTTCCATTTACTCAGTTACCATTTCTGGAATAATTTGATTATTATGCTCAGAATAAATAAATTTAGTGCGCTAATAATTACTCCGTATTAATTAAGCACGTAAGGACATATACGTGTCAACTCATTT